CTTTCGTCGTATAAATCGAACCTAAAACGAAAAAACGTTTTGTACAACCACGGGCATATTTGGCATATCAAGCTTGACAAACGCTACTTGGCCCTTGTCCGATCACACTTCGCTTCAATACCAAGTTTACAAACCGACTCAACCTTATTGATAGCACGATAATGTAATGGTCTAAAACTCTACCAAATACGTCATTGGCTGTGCGGCTGAATACAACCTTCACGCCAAGCCGAAATGTTCAACGGATAATGTAAACTTGTCGAAAATCGACTAAATTTTACATTCTCACAATTCACTTTATTTCCGAAGCGAGTTGCCTACAAAATCCGACGTATAAAAACACTCGTAACGAAGCTCCTGAAGCCGTACGAGTTATCCTTAAAATATATGAAATATCTCGGAAGGTCAATATTTCGCAAAGCACTGTAAGTAAAGACACTTTGTTTAGGGAAAAAATTACATAACCCCTCGGTTCTAACTGCTCTAGCATGAATCAAACTACTTAACATCCAAACAGAAACATAAGTTTTGGCTGTGAATGTCCGCAAGCAAGTCAAAGTGTTTCAGCAAAAGCAGGGTTAAGACAAAACCCTCGTAACACCACGTAACATCTTCGGGCCCGCAAACGTTTCGAACAGGAAACGCGGCATATAAAATAAAAACCAATCTTTGGCACTGCGAGACGTCACAGATGCCCGAAGAATAGTTTTTCGACACAAATACCTTCCTCGATAAAATCACTTTCTTGGAAGACCCAACAGTCCATCCGCGACTATAAAACAAAAAAAACTTCTTAACATACGTATCCTTCACGAAGGCCCAAACAACAGTAGCATCTACCACCAAGTTTTTTGCTGATCACAACAAACTCGCAACAGTCCTAAACAAACTTAAGTTATCGCACAGAGATAGCTCTCATACATCCGACACAAGGGTAATAGAGCTATAAAAGAAATCCAAACTTTTGGTCAGCACTTTCGGGAGACTTAAAAATTTTCCTCGGTGAGATGCTCGATTCCAACCAGACGAGTCATATAAGCCGATAACCTATCGCGGACTCTAAATCGGTATGGAATCAGGTTAAAATCGCAACAGGCAAAACGAAAGCCGATTAGTCATCGCATAGCCTCAATCCGAAAGTAAACTTAGGTCTTGCCCTAAACCCAGCACGCTGGTCTCTAACGTCTCAAGGCATGATTTGAGATCCTAAAGGCATGTCACTTCGTTCATATCTAATCGCTCACCGAATTTTGAAACATTCCGAAACGAGGAAAGGAACAGGGCGATCTACAAAAAGAGTTTGACTATGAGACGACAACTCATATTCTTCCCTCTACATTCATACGAATAAAAATACACTCCTAGAAACGAAAACTGATTTATAATAAATCCGCAAAGCGGCATAGAATCATAGCCACATACAGCCAGTCCGAAAACTGTAACGGCCACACTCGGACAAAGCAAACAGCGTACTAAGCTAGTCTCAAGACCAACAAAGGTCCAATACACATAACTAGACTGTAAAGGTCTTACTAGGAAATAGGTCATACGAACCTTAACTCCAAGACGAACTACAAAAGGCTTGATCCCTTCAATAGGGTACGTAGGCAGCTTTCACAAGGCGCAGCACTAATCTTAAACGCTTTCCGCTCCTTGGAGAGTGGAAAGATCGCTTTCAACAGACCTTTCCAACCATTAATTCTGCCTAACTTACCTAAAGCTGGCTAATAACTCGCAAGAACCTCACGCTAGAGGCTTAAGGTTCAAGCGAGCTGGGGGGGCTAACTGTTGGTGTCAAAATCGGTCACGATGGAATCAATAGCTAAAAATCTCCGCAAAAATAAAAATACGTTTTATAAAACACGAGAAGATGTTTTATAAAATTCTAAGGACTTTCCGAACAAAGAAAATCCGAGGAAAACCTGGAAATTTTCATCTCAGAAGAATGAACAAAACAAACGCCGATTACACGATTACCCAAGTTAAGCGAAAAAACCGCAAAAAAACCGCATCCACCGTAAACCGGGAGCAGGTTCGACCGAACAAGTTTGACGTACGACGAGCCGAACCAGCCGGTTCAGCTTGCCGTACGGTGAACTGGTCGGTCCCGGACCAGCTCACCGTACGGCGAGCTGGCCCCCTCAATGCAGCTCGCTGTACGGCGAGCTGAACCAACCCGGTTCGTCTCGCCGTACGGCGAGCTGAACGAACCCGGTTCGGCTCGCCGTACGTCGAGCTGACCATCCCAAGCCTCGATCTCCCGCATCCTTGACGTACGGAATACGTCCTTCGATTCTATCATGCTCTGAACCATGGTCGAAACGTCTCTCATTTCGTCTCAATCCGTCTTACCGTTCGAGTTTTACGATAAATATCGTAAAAGTCTTCTTTTCTCGTAAAGTTCGGTAAAGATCGTATAAAACGGCAATGATTAGATGGAAAATCGTGCATCGCCAAACTATACGATTAACTCGAGAAATCTTATAAGAACGGCATCGTATCAGGAAACGATCTCGTCTAAAACCGTAAAACGGTTTTTATCGCAAAACGGCTCGGACAGCCCAAAAGCGCGATAAAAGTCCACTTGCGACTCTAGACGAAATCCAGCCCAAAGATACGATGACGGTTTGACGATTTACCCGCAGAAAGAAGATAAAAGTCAAGTTTGAAGATAAATAGAAGATTTCCGCAAGAAAAATGGAAAGATCGAGATAAATGGAAGATTCTCAATAAACTCGAATCTGGGCGAAAAGGAAGGACTAAACCGCCTAAGGAGGGAGTATATAAGCAGAAGGCCAAGGACAGAACAAGTGACGAGTTTTCAGAGCTTTCACCACCAAACTTAGCACTTAGGAATATTTCCGTTTTTGTTATCTAGATGCGTCTCAACTAGAGTTTTATTCTTAGATTGATAGAACTAGGAATCTCGCCGACGGCTCACGCAGCTAAGGCTACTCTTGTTATACCATTCTTACGCGAATTCAGAATAAGACTCCTTTTTGCTATCAATCTCGTTTTTATTTTCTTTTTACTTAATCGTGTCATGTTCTTGATTGCTGGTGTGCGGTTCCGCAGATAGCCGGGTCCTCTGGAAAATTAGGGTTTACTCTAAATTTCTAAATTTACGTAAAATCGATAGGGGTGAATTTCCGTTCCAACAACTCCCACCGCCTCGCTGATACTCCGGTCAGAACCCCACAAACCTTGGATCCAAACTCCCCCCTGGGAGAGGATCTACATGAATCTTTGGTGGAGCTCCGACCACGACACTACGCATATTAACGAAAGGACGAGAAGAGACAAAATGAAGCAAAAACGACAAAAGAGGATAGTAAGTTCCGGAAGGCCTCGCGCCGAAGCCAGGAAAAACGTTGTCAAAGAGCTAGAGAGAATTTGGAGGTTTTAAGGGAGAGAGAGAGAGAGAGATTGTGTTAAACTGTTCTGAAGAAATCTATGTTCCATAACCGATGATTAAATTTGGCAACAATTTTGTAATATTTAACTGAATATTGGTAGCTTGATGGTCTACATGCCTCTCAATTAACACAAAAAGAAAAGAAAAACAATTCATTAGTGCCCAATCTAAGATAAATAGAGGTCAACTGTTCATCTGATATGTAATGAATCTTTCATGGGTAGAATCAATTATATAACCACCGAAGTACAATAACCTTATCATCATCATCTATGGAACAAGAAGAAATCAATGTTCCATAGTAATATAAAATTATACTAATAGTTAACAAATCAACAGAGAGAGAGAGAGAGAGATTAAACTGTCTGAAGAAATCTATATTCCATAACCGATGATTAAATTTGGCAACAATTCTGTAATATTTAACTGAATACTGGTTGCTTGATGGTCTACATGCCTCTCAAATTAACAGAAAAAGAAAAGAAAAACAATTCAGTAGTGCACAATCTGAGATAAATAGTGGTTAACTGTTTATCTGATATGTAATAAATCTTTCTTATGGGTAGAATCAGTTATATAAACACCGAAGTACAATAATCTTATCATCATCATCTATGGAACAAGAAGAAATCAATGTTCCATATTAATATTAAATTTTATTAATAGTTAACAGATCAACATAGAGAGAGAAAGAGAGAGAGAGATTGTGTTAAACTGTTCTGAAGAAATCTATGTTCCATAACTGATGATTAAATTTGGCAACAATTCTGTAATAGTTAACTGAACATTGGTTGCTTGATGGTCTTCATGTCTCACAATTAACACACAAAAAAAAAGAAAAGAAAAACAATTCAGTAGTGTCCAATTTGAGATAAATAGAAGTCAACTGTTCATATTATATGTAATGAATCTTTCTTATGGGTAGAATCAATTATATAAACACCGAAGTACAATAACCTTATCATCATCTATGGAACAAGAAGAAATTAATGTTCCATAGTAATATTGAATTTTATTAATATTTACAAATCAACAGCCACACAATAATGTCCATATCCATTAACATGGATACAATAACATATGAATGTCCATATCCATTAAATTTGGCAATAATTCTGTAATATTTAACTGAACACTGGTTGCTTGATGGTCTTCATGTCTCACAATTAACACGAAAGTAGTGCCCAATTTGAGATAAATAAAAGTCAACTGTTCATATTATATGTAATGAATCTTTCTTATGGGTGGAATCAATTATATAAACACCGAAGAACAATAACCATATCATCATCTATGGAACAAGAAGAAATTAATGTTCCATAGTAATATTGGATTTTATTGATAGTTACAAATCAACAGCCACACAATAATGTCCATATCCATTAACATGGATACAATAACATATGAATGTCCATATCCATTAAATTTTGCAACAATTCTGTAATATTTAACTGAACATTGGTAGCTTTATGGTCTACTTGCCTCTCAATTAACACGAAAAGAAAATAAAAACAATTCAGTAATGCCCAATTTGAGATAAATAGAGGTCAATAGTTCATCTGATATGTAATGAATCATTCTTATAGGTAGAATCAATTATATAAACACTGAAGTACAATAACCTTATCATCATCTATGGAACAAGAAGAAATCAATGTTCCATAGTAATATTGAATTTTATTAAAAGTTACAAATCAACAGCCACACAACAAAGTCCATATCCATTAACATGGATACAGTAACATATGAATGTACAGGGACGCAAACACACACATATATATAGACATATATACAGAAGACAATTGATCTTGAAAAAGATTTTGCTAATATCTAAAAGACATTGAGCGACGTTGCATAAAGAGGAATGCAGGGCTTGAATGAGAAATAATTTGGTACGTAAGAAGAAAACCTCTTTCTCTTCAGAGAATCCGCAGATCCAAGAGCCGGCTGGTTCAAGTATGCGTACTTGCTCTTCATCCACCTGATAGATAATAAACAGTCAAACTTCAAAGTTAAACAGAAAAAAACAGAGGTGGTTCTTGTTTAGGCTGGTTCAAGATATATGTTAAGGAGAATGTTTTTATGGATAGAGATTTAAACAGAGACCAGTCTTTTATCCCCTCATGAACTTCGAATTCCGGGTCCTCCATGTCCAAGCTTTCTTCGAAGCGTTTGTAGTCCTCATCCTGCAATAACTATCGATATTAGAACCTTTAGCCTTCATCGATTGGTTTGATATAAAGAATCTCCCCCAAGTAACAACATGACATCATATAAACTTCTACAAAAGAAACATCCATTTTTCTTCTTGAATGAATTTAAAACGCACAAGAATTGTTAAAACTAAAGGACATACAGAGAGATTACGGGCTCTGACACGAGCTGCAGCCTTAATAGCAGCAAAGAGATGCTCCTCTTCAATGATCTGCTTCTGCCTCCAGAACTTCTTGATCTGTATATTGGTTATGCTGTCTCCCTCGATCTTTCTTGATCCATATCCTGGAGATGGAGGAATCGTTGGAGGAGGAGGCGGCATCAGTGACTTCTTAAAACAAAAATTCTCAGACTCATCCATAATCTGCTTCTTCATATTTATACAGCTAAAACAGTTTAACTATATACAACAAGACAAGCAGGTCAAATATCACAAAGAGGAGAAAAGCTGCTGTATCTAACAGATTCTGAATCTAACCTTCAAACTAAAGAGATACACCTGAGATTCTTAAAGAGTATACCAAACAATTAAATGAACGTCTACGTCTACTCTGCCAACTTGTTGCAATTATCTTGTACGTCAAGACAAACTATAAGCTTTAAGCTAAACTGTCGAAGAAAAGGACAGGTGGTTGTAACTTCTAATCTTCATTCAATAATAAAGTAATCAATTAGGTAATGCAAAAGCATATGGTCTTGAAGCACCTAGTGGTACATCTTTCAATCACAGCCGTTGAATCATGGATGACCATCGCGATCAATATCACCAAAATGCCATTTTCATCATGACGTACTCCATTAAACAACAATTGTTACTTGTTCTGTTCTTCACTTATGCTTATGGCATTTGCAACTGAATGAACTCTGATGTGAAACCCGAATATACATATTCGATCTGAGCACTAAAATTGTCAAATTACCAAACAGTTTGGAGGATGATATTTTGGATATCATATATTGTCCGTCTCTAATCCAAACCAACCATGTATCCGAAAAAAATGAAAAAATGAAGATACTGAAAATGAATAAATTTTCGAATATCCCAATCAGTATATAGAATAAATATTGGGAACCTAAATAACTAATTTAAATAACTAACTAGAGTTTGACCCGCATATCCGTGCAAGTATTTTTATTTTATAAATATATAACTAAAGTTTTTAAATATATGATTTATATTTTATTTTTAATTAAAGTTAATTTATAATTATATTTAATAGCCAAATAAATAAATACTTATTTTATATAAAAAATATTTAAAATTTTCGGTAAGATATTGTAAGACTTTTTCAACAGATTTTGTTATATTTAAATTGATTTATTATTAATATTCTTATTAATTATTAAATTATTTTGAAAATAATATATATTTGATTGGTTAAATAACAATCAAATATGTCATATTAAATAACTAATGACATGGTTCAACATGACTTCTAAGTAGTAGATAAATTTGGTACTTCTATTTTAATAGAGAAGATTACCGACACATGAAATACTTGTGTTCAATAAAGTATTAGAATATAAACCTTTATATCCAAATCCAAAGTATTACTAACTGAATGTGATCTGAATATACGTACATATACATATATTTTATTATATAAAATTTAGTTTTTCAAAGTTACTAATTAACAAGATTGTGACACATGACAATTGTATATTTAAGATTGTGACATGTGTTAAATTATCTCATAATTAATATATAGATATATATATATATATATTTAGATAATGACAAAAAAAAATTTTGTTAAAAATAATTTAGAAATATTATATAATAGTAATTTTCCATTTTTAAATCCTACTTAAAAGATATTTACAAAAACAAATATTTGATAATCATTTTCCTTTTAATATAATCACATGTATTAAAATATCTTATGATTACAAATATATATACTAAGATAGTAAAAATAATTTTGAAGATATTAATTTTAAAAATTGTTTGAAATTAAAAAAATGTTTTTAATTGTCTTGTTCCTTTTACAAATCCTAAAGAAAAATATTTTAAATCATAAAAATGAATTTTTAAAATAATAATTTTAAATATGGTTTAAAAGTGAAAAAAGTAAAGAGTGTTTAATTTTAGTTTTCCTTTTTTTACAAACCCTAAACAAAAAAAACTATTCGGAAAATAATTTATTTTATTACAAATTTGCATTTTCTAAAATCCTAAAAAAGATTATTTGATAGTAATTTATCTTTTACAAATTTTATATATGTCAAAATATATCATCATTAACAAAATATATATACGAAGATGATGAAAATTATTTTTACTACTAAAGTAATTTGAAAAAAAATTGTTAATAGCAATTTTTTAAACAATGTTCTTTTAAAAAGTTTTGAACAAATAACAATTTTCAAAATAATTTATTTTATTTTAATTTTCCTTTTCCAAAATGCTGAAAAAGGTAATTAAAAAACTCTTTTATAGTAATTGTCCGTTTATAAAATCTTGAAGATAAAAAAAAATTATAAAAAATGTTTAATAGTCGTTTTCCATTTATCAAATCCTAAAAAAAAAATATTTGTAAAATAATTATTTCAAATATTATTTATGTTATTTTCTTCTTAAACTGATGATGATTTTTTATATATATACTAAGATAATAAAACAAAATTTTGAAGATATTAATCTTTCAAATTGTTTAAAACTAAAAACAAAGAAGTTAAAAATATATAGTAATTTTTCGTTTCTAAAATCTTGAAGATAAAAAAATTATAAAAAGTGTTTAATTGTAGTTTTCCTTTTTACAAATACTAAAAAAAAATATTCATAAAATAAATTATTAATTACTAATTGGCTTTTCTAAAATCCTGAAGAAAAATTACAGTAAAAGATTATTTGATAGTAATTTTCCGTTTAAAAGTTTTATATATGTTAAAATTAATCATGATTATTCATTCAAAAAATATTAATCATGATTGGCAAAATATATATACTAAGATAATGAAAGCGATTTTTACAAATTTTATAAATTATTTAATAGAAATTTCTAAACCATTTTCTTTTACAAAAATTTAATAAATAAAAGATTTAAAAAATCCTAAAGAAACAGTATTTCTAAAACATATTTGATAGTAATTATCATTTTCTAAAATCTTGAACATAATAAAAATCAATAAATAATCTTTAATAGTAATTTTCCTTTTTTCAAATCCTAAACAAATAATATTTGTAGAATAATTATTTCAAATATTTTTTTATGTTCTTTTATGCTTAAACTTATTTTTGTCATATTTGTCATGCTGTCATTTGTTATTGCAATAATTATACTTAGGTGTTTGTATGTAGTATTTTGATATTGTATGTAAGTTAATGTGTCTATTATGCTTATGTGTGTTTGTTTTTATCGACATTATAAAATTATTTATGTTGTTGTAGGTAAGTTAATGTCCATGTCAATTTGTTATATTTATGTATCATTGTGCTTATGACTGATTGTTAAATTATGTAATTAAAAAAATAAATGTAAAAATAGTAGTGATACGAATTGTAAAATAGCAGTTTTGAAATCATTTAATAGTATTGAAATAATTATTTTATAGTAATCGAATTTTTGGAAATTCTAAATAGAAGATAATTGTAAATGATTGTATGATAGTAATCTTTATTTTCTAAAATCTTAAACAAAAATTTAAAATAGTATTTGATATTATTTTTTGTTTTTAAGTTATAAATAAAAAATTATAGAATATAATGTTTTGTTTTTAAAATCATAAGAAAATGAAAATTTTAAGAAAATGTTTAACAGTAATTTCAAACATAATTATTTTGATGATAAATATGATACTAAAACAATTTAATTAACAAAAAAAAATAGGAGTTTGTCATGATTAGTATTTATTTAGTTTTTGTATGTGTTTGGTCATACAAAAATCAAATACATGTTTGGTATTTTTGTGTTTAGTCATAAAATTATATTATTACTATTATCACCTTAAATGATCTTTATAAGTATTTAGTCAAAATTAAATCAAGTTTTATCGTCATCTTATTACATATGTGTTTTAATATATAGTATTTCCAATTCATTTTATTAAAATTTTATTATGAAAATATATCATTAAAGTGAATTCAAAAAGTTTTAATAACAGACAATTTTAATAAAACAGTTTTATTGTTAGTTAGAAATGAAAAACAAGTAATTTGAAAATAAGTATAAATTAAGTACATATAGAAAAAGTGATAAATTCAAAAACTAGAAAAAACTAAATAAATTGTTTGAAATACTATAACTTAAATACCATTTTTAATACATCATAAAAAGCGTATACCATCTGAATTTATGATTTAATTTTTAGGGTTTAATATTTAAGCGATGAAATTAAATTTATAAAGATATATAAAAACTTCAAATGATATATAAGATATTAAATGTCATATGGTTAAAATAAAATTAGAAGAACTTCTTAATTACCTCTAAGATCGTATTCTTTAACCTTATTACAATATAAAATAAAATAATTTATTTATTTATTTTAGGATTTATCATCACAAAATTATAGTTTTTGTCTTCATAAAAACTATGGTTAAAGTATTATGTTTTATTATAAAATACATGTATTGATGGTTTTATTATCATTAATTATATGATAAAAGTGATGATCAAAATTGTTTCTATGGATGAATAATTAAAATTTTAAAATAACGTAACCAAAAAATATTTGATGGTCACAAATGCATAAAGAGTTAAGAAAATCTTACAATGACAATAAAAATTTCACTAAAATGACCAATAAACATCAGAATATATATATATATATATATATATATATATATATATATATATATATGTATATTGTCATCAAAAAGAAACAGACTCAAACTGACTCTGAAAACCATAACGGCAGCTCTGCATCCATGTAAACGACAAAAGACAGTTGCTTCCTGACACTCTGTGCTAGGCTATCCGCCTTCTTGTTTTGTGTTCGTGGAACATGAATAATCTCTGAGCTGAGAAAACCTTCTTGGAGGACCTTGATGTCTTCCAAATAACTTGTAAAAGCAGGCCATTCTTCTGGTTCCGACACCATCTTCACCAATTGAGAACAATCTGTTGCAAACGTAACCCGAAACTGACGTAGATTCCTCATACATTCCATCACCCATATCAAGGCCTCGACTTCGGCATGAAGTGGTGATAAAGATGCTCGAACATTTCTTGCTCCCATCAAACTATCAAAACCTGCGAGAGTGCTATACCATCCTTGTCCTGAAAAGGAATCATTTTCCTTCCATGATCCGTCTGTAAAGCACCACCGTCCTGGAATTGCCGGTGTATCAGCTGCCGCCATATGTTGTACTGGTCCATGTGGTAGAAATGCTTGTGCCTCCATCCATAGTGTTGATTCAGTCTTTGCCAATTTGAGCGTATCTCTAGGATCAACATCTAAATTACTAAAAACTTTATTATTCCTTGCTTTCCAAATATACTATAGAATCCAAGCAAAGTGATGATCCTCTAGTTTGGGTTGCACTCTCCAGAATAAATGATCTATGTTTCTGAACAAGGACTGAGATGGGATAATGTCTGGGTTTGAAGGTA